TTGTATTTATTTATTGACACAATTGAACAAATAGCCATTTCTGTTTTCGTGCAGAATTTAAATTTCTCCGCTACGCCACTTCTCTGTGAACTGATCTTTGTTCAACCAAATGTTATTACATTACAAGTTAATTTAATAATTAAAGCGTAACTAAACCCTTAAATTCGGTTAGAGCCCTCTGTCTCAGCAGAGGACGCACAGGAGGATCATACAGAAGGTATGGCCTTGTGGTCACAGAGTATGTGACTCTCACTAGAAACACATTCACAGTTGTTTGTAAAAGTTTCTGTGTGGTACACGTGTTAGCACATTAGCTTAGCAGGCGGCTGAGAGAGGCTAATTCTGTGTGTGTCTGTGGGGGAGTGTAAAAAATGAATTAATGGATCTGTGACTGTGGTATGAAAAGCATCCAGGAGATAGCCATGCAGGCTCCATCAGGGCTACAAAAGACCATGTGCCATTTTGTGTACCAGATTAAAATCACGTGGAAAGATGGGACGCCCACCCGGCTCTGACAGGAACTGCTGGTCGGGTTCTGGAGCGCACACATTCAGCAATAAAGTCTTTGCTTTGAAATCTTGTAGATAAACATGAGCATCAGTGGTCAAGACTGTAAGTTCCTTTAAAATAAATTAAATTTTCAGGATAATTGCTGCAGATTAAACTTAATTGCAAATTAATGAAGTTTAAAATTTAATTTATGTTTGACTAACAGAATTTATGACTGAACTGAAAAGAAACTGCAGTTCGTTCTGTTATATAATGTTTATGTGTGGCCCCTGGACTGTAGACTGTTAGCATCCACTTGCATCTTTGCATTGATTTTATATGACGTTGCATTGCCTCTTAAGTGTGCTTCGTGGTTTGTGTGAACACTAAAGTTCATACAAAACTTATGTTTATGGTTTTACTACTTAAAATTGGTCAGATACGGTCGGGACCTTAGCATCCCTTGTTTCTGTTTGTGCCAGTGACTGTTAGTCCAGCTCTGGGACAGCAGTGAAAGACATAAGACATAAAGACATAAAGACATAAACAGCAGAGATTATAAAGGAAACAGAAAGCAGTTCTGACAACATGGAGGAAAGAGAAGCAGTCCTCTGTCCTTGTTCTGGACGTCAAAAAATCTGAATAATGAGACTGGACATTAATACGTGTTGCTATAGTTTCATCTGTCAGAGGGAGAATGAATGAAAGTGAAAACTGTGTGGTAAAGGATGTAGCTGCATGGTGGCTGATAATGCTGTGAATTGGAAGAGACCTCCTTTTGCACCAATGAGGTCTATTTCTGCTGGAAGCTGAAATTCATAAACATCTGTGACAGGCGAGTGTGCAGCAGACTGCTCTGCTGTTACTGGAACATCATCTCAGAGCTTTAATCTGCAGCTCCACGGGGACGTTCACCAACACAACGGGCCGACGCCAGGCACCAGATGAAACCCACTGTCACAATCACAGAAAAAAACAGACTCATATCGATCAAACAGACAGTACAGGTTCTCTGTGATTCTGTTTTTCTGTATTTTAGTGTGACAGGAACTTTCAGCATCAATCACTGGCTTTAAAATGATGAAACCAAACTTTGAACTAAACCACGGCGTGATGAAACATCGCGGAAGATGACTTTGACAACCAGTGTATTTTTAAAATCTCTGTTTGTGCACCAGCTCATCGTGAAGCAGTTTGTGCTTCTGCTATAAACCTCAAAGCTACTCAGTCGAGACATGTTGGGAGGCTGAGGAATGTGTTTACTAGTTTAAGTTTTATTTAGAAAAGTTTATCTCATCTCCTCTACCACATCTTACCTACAATTGCCTCAGCTCATCTCATATCACATAATATCATCTGGTTTTACCTCATTTCACAGTATCTTAGACATATCACCTGACATTGCTTTATCTCCTCCTATCTAACCTTACCTATGGTCACTTCACTTTGTTCCAATCTGATCTCATCTCAAATAATCTCAATTTTGCTTCACCTAATATTGCCTCACTTTAGCTCACTCGGCTCCAGCTCATCTGTTCTTACGTCTCACTTGTCTTATTTTATCTCACATATGGTGACTTGTTTTATTTAATTTTACCTCATATGATTTCATCCAAAATCAACGCATCATGTCGATTCACCGAGTCTCTTCTCACCTAATCTTCACATAATCTTGTGTGCTACCTTATCTCACCTCATCTTATTTCACCTAAAACCACTTCGCCTCATCTTGTTTTTATCTCAACTCATCTAAGATCCATTCACATCTCTTCATCTTCTCACCAATCTCACCACCACGTCACATTTAGCATTCAATTGTGAAATAATTCCACCATTAAAGCCATCCAATTAAGGTTATCTGACATGAACGAAGAGGAAACTAGTACAACTGTGTTTGTTGTGGTTGTGTAATAACCTCAAAATGGCAGAAACTAGTATCTGGTAGTTTTACCTGATTACTGCGTCCAAAGAAAAGAGAGACAGCTAAAGAGAGAAGTCATGAAGAAGAGGGGAACTCTTCATTCAGTCTGTCAGGAGAGAATAATTAGAGAAGGAATAGGAGGCCATTATTAAAACATATTAAGACAGAAACATGTCTGAGTTCATGTCCGTGCTGACTTACAGAGTCCTTCATGAGAAAGCCTGCCAGTGCAGTCTGTTGACATTCAGATCACGTTCCACTGCACATCTCCCAATTCCACCAAGAATCCACAGCAGCCATGTTATTGCCCACACAGCCGTGCAGAGGAAGTTACAGATTTTCAGTTTTTACAGAAAAATACCCAGATTTATTAAAAAAGAAGCAGATGAGTAAAACTAGTTTTCATTCAGACTCACCCTTGTGCACCCAGAGGTTGCTGCAAATAAACACTGTTTACTGAAGTTAAAGTTAATGAGGTCCTGTGGTGATGAGCTCAGTTCAGAAAATCCTCCGGTATTAGAAAGTGAAGATAAACACGGCCTGCTGATAACCCTTCATTATTGATAGAGTATAATAAATTAACTGAAATGTGTGTTTTTAAATGATTTTTACCCAGATTTTTAAATAAAAAACCAACAGTAAGGATTTCTTAAGATGGAGCCATCCCGCTCTGTCCCCTTGTAAGCATCCTGGTCGACTGGGAAATCTCTTTGTTTTTATTGTCTTTATATGGAGAATGAATGAGCCATTACAGATGAGTCACTGCTGGAAAATGACAGTCACAGCTCTGGAATCAATAACTCACATATATTGTTTGGTCTTCAGTTAGCAGATCATTGTAAGAGATCTTTCTGCAGGAGACAGGAGAAGAAACATCGTCATTAATTAACTGGTTTAATCAATTAGACTGTTTGTGAGCGAGGATAGCAGCACATATTCCATTTTATTTATTAATGACTATTGATAAATTATTGATTAATCAGTCTATATTTTATTTATGAATGTATGTTTTGATACTTGATTTCCAAATTAGTGTTTAACGGAGGTGTTCAGTGTTTTCCTGTGAGCCAGCTGATCCAGACTGGGTCGGTCTGATCAGGTGGTGTTGACGTGGAGCATTTTGGCTCTGGTGGAGCAGCAGATTGTGGTTACAGCAGGGAAGGTTCGGGTCAGTTCAGGCTACTTTAGATCACTACCACAGACAATACACACCAGTGTTTTCCAGCCTTGTGGTCGGGGACCCGCACTAGGGTCCACAGGATAAATCTGAATGGTACAACATACAGGGATCAGTCTAACCTGGAAAATGGTACTTTCAGCTGTTTATAATTCACTTCTGATCATGGGAATTATTTTTCCAATCTGTGCACCTGAACGCACCATTTGTCTGACCTTTTGGTCAGTGTTTTTTTCTGAATCTCCAGACAGAAAGGAGGAAATAATGAATCAAAAAATACATAATTTCTCTGAGTGGAACAGATTTGTGTTGCTGCACTTAAATAAGCACTGGAAAAAAATACTGCAGTCTTTCATGACAATAAAAGTAGGTCATGTTGCAAAACTATAGTGCATCTTCTGACAGGAGTTAGCCTTTGAGGTTTTTAATGAAAGAAATTGTGAAACATTGAAAACAGTATTGGACAACAAATTCAATAATAATTTATGCAAATCATAAAATAATGAGACAAGACCAAAGGTTTTTATTGTATAGTGTCCACAAGAGTAAACATAAAACATGTGGGCGCCCAGTTAGCTCAGTCGGTAGAGCTGGCGACCCATATATGCAGCGACCCAGGTTCGACGTCACAGACCTGTGCCCTTTGTGCGCATGTCGAATACCCCTCTCTCTCACTCTGCCTCCCTTCCTGCTTCCTAACCCAAGCCATCTCTATCAAAATAAAGGCATAAGCACAAACACAAAATATATACTTAAAAAAAACAAAAAAAAGCATAAAACATGTGAAATACTTGGAATGCAGCAATTGGGAAATTCTGGGCCGATCCCAATGTTTAAAATAACAACTCGGCCAATACTGATGTTTTTGTTGTTATTTATTCACTCTTTTGTGCCAGGAAAATAAAAGAGCTATAAAGATAAGCATCTGCCTTGTTGCTGCTCAGTCTATTTCTCTTCTCATCCAGTATGTGAAATGGAGTTATTTTATTTTATGGCTGTTATTTTTCTTTGAATTTTTAATGTTATTTTGAGTTTATTGTATTGTCTATATAAAGTTATAAACGCTCTATAAATGATCTATATGCTGTACGTGCCTGTACTGTGTGATCCCTGTAGCAACGCTTTCTTCTTAGCTTTTGACGCATTTGTCATGTCTTGTGTTTGAATTTTACTTTAACACCCTAAAGAAGGCTCCTAGCAAAATTTAGGTGGGGTCAGCTCTGTGGAGTATTATTTATTTTACTCAGAGGGCCTTGGATCTTTCTTTCTCGTCAAGAGCAAGAGCATTAGCTGTGGATTATTTTCAAAAATCTTTTTTTTACCTTTTGTTTATCAAGCAAAACCACTCCAGTTATTCCCTTTTTATTTTTCTGTATTTACGTGACTAATAATGTCTTGTGTTCGTGTCTGCAGGTCTGTCAGGTAACCCTGTTGATTTGGAGAAACGTCACACATCGTACGGCCAGAACTTCATCCCCCCCAAGAAGGCCAAGACCTTCCTGCAGCTGGTGTGGGAGGCTCTGCAGGATGTCACACTTATAATCCTGGAAATCGCTGCCATCATCTCACTGGGCCTGTCCTTCTACCATCCACCTGGGGGCGACAGTGAAGGTCAGTACAGTCAGAGACTCTGGCAGTCTTTTTCTCAGAAAAAAATCTATGCAAAAACAACAACACTGGTAAACGGCAACTAGACTGCTAGATACCACTAAATCCCCCACATTGGACTTCTTCTTCTTTATCCTTTATTTATTTATTCATATAGTTATTTTATATTTATTCATATTTAATTTATTTATTCATAATTTTTTCTATCAGCAACATGATTTGACCCCGGTATTCATGAAACCCTGGCTACGTCTCTTAGCAAAGATGTTAAACTAATTAATAGGCAAAACATTAGCCTAGGCTGGATTATACAAAAGAAAAAAGACAACATTAAAAGTAAAGTCCATGTTGAAGCATTTAGTATTAAAATTAAATTTATTAGAAGTTTGTTTGATAGAGATACTCTGACCTTTTTAGACGTCACATGTTTATGTGGTGAAAGTGTTTCAAATTCAACATGTCCTTGTCTTCTCGCAGCATGTGGCCAGGTTTCAGGTGGCGCCGAGGACGAGGGCGAGGCCCAGGCTGGGTGGATCGAGGGTGCCGCTATCTTGTTCTCAGTCATCATTGTGGTCCTGGTGACGGCCTTCAACGATTGGTCCAAGGAGAAGCAGTTCCGTGGGCTGCAGAGTCGTATCGAGCAGGAACAAAAGTTCACCGTCATCCGCAAAGGCCAGGTCATCCAGATCCCTGTGGCCGAGATTGTGGTGGGAGACATCGCTCAGATCAAATATGGTACGAGACCACAGACACTAGACTGAAATATCAAACCTGTAATGTTTTGTTAATGTAATGCTTTGGTGTTCAGCCTTTATCAGAGTATGAGAGGACTGTGGCAAAGAGCAAAAACCAGTTTTTGAAATTGTTTTGAGAAATGGAAATTTACCCTTTGATCTCTGTTCCTGCAGGAGACCTGCTGCCTGCTGATGGTATCCTGATCCAAGGCAATGACCTGAAGATTGACGAGAGTTCTCTCACCGGAGAGTCTGATCAGGTCCGCAAGTCTCTGGAGAAAGACCCCATGCTGCTGTCCGGTGAGTGCCTAACAGTCTCATGACTTAGACCAACACTGATTATTCTTTTTTGAAGTGATTCTGATGATATTCACGACCCCTAAACAAATATATTGGCTGTTTTTGTTTGATTCTTGTCTGGAAGGAAAATTCTCTGAAGCAGGATGTGGAATCAGAGCTTGTAATTAATCAATGTATTCATATCAGACTGAACCAGCTATCAGGATAAAATCAATCAAGACAATTAAGCAAATGTTTGTATTGCACCTCACATACAGATAAGTGCAATTCAGGGTGCTCTACAGGCAACTGGCAAGCTAATAAGAGTGCAAATATGAACAGTAAAACAATTGGAGAAAAATAAATACTTAAAATCACATAAAGATATCAACCCTGTTAGTATGTTTTATGTTAGTATAAAATCACTTGTGTCTCAGAGCAAGTATTGTCAATTTTTTATATAAACTTTTAATCAAGGAGTATTATTATATATATTGTGCATTATTTGGCATACAATTTATTTGGACAACATGTTGAAAGCGGCTGTATCAAAGCCAAAAGTACTAAATTTGGCAACCCTGGTTTCTCTCAATGAACCTCAACTAATCTATAACTAATATTTCTCGTTTATCCTTGTTGAGCTGTAAAATGGTTTGTGACATCCAGGCACTAATATCTAAAATGTACATCTAAAAGAAGCAATAATTGATCCTGTGTCATCAGGAGATTAATCCACATAAAGATTTGTGTCATCAGCATAGAAACATATACACCACCAAGATGTACTGTAAGATTAAAAAACTATGGCTAAGATAGTACAACAAAGTGCAAACGGGTGTTAAAAAAGTATTCAGTGATGCAGCTGAAGAAAAGCTTATACAGATGAAATGATAAAGAAAAGACAATAACACAGTGACTGTTAAAAAACAAGTTCTTGTTGTGACTCCAAGCTTTTTGAATCTTTCCTTAGGGACTCATGTAATGGAGGGATCAGGCAGGATGGTGGTGTCAGCTGTTGGCCTCAACTCTCAAACTGGTATCATCTTTACTCTGCTGGGCGCCAGCGAGAGCGACGAAGAGAAGAAGGTCAAGAAAAGTAAGACACGAGAGAAAGCCTGTCACACGTCTCAAAACACAACTCATGTTGAAGTGTTGAAGGTCATCAAGTGGGTGAAGTGTTGGGAGGAAAGTTCGATTAGAAAGACTATCACCTTATCTGCTTCTGAATATTTCTACTCTACTGTTTGAACAGTGCAGATTGGAAATATTTGCACGTTTTTATCAGCTGGTGTTGATTTGAAGTCTCCCCTGTCGTACTAGCTGACTCTGTCAGCAGGTAGAGTTCATCCAGTCTGAGCTGATTACAGCAGAGCTGTTTGAAGGGTCTAACTATAATATTTTAACATTAGTGAGCTTCAATCTGATCACAAAAGCATCATTAGTGAATAAATGAGACCACGGATGAGTTCAACTGCAGTGATCATATCAGACATAACAAATAACATAACAAATATTGTGATATTTAAGTATCCGATCAACAGGGATGTGTACAATTGCAAAACGTTCACATGTTCTAATTAACAGTTCTACAAACATTGATTTCCAATCATAGATTAGCAAACATAACAAGGCAGTGTTTGGATTTCTCCTTTTCTGTTCTCCGTTTGGAAAGCTTTGTACATGGCGTTGTAGTAAGAGACTGCATCCAAAGAGTTGTATGATGGTGTTCTTTGTACTCAACGTAAGCTGCTAATGTTAGCATGCCTGGTTAACTAACTTATGACCTTCAGTTGGAATCAAATATACCTGGAACCTGTTAGTGTTAACTTCAGTTTGTTTT